CTGCTGCGGATGGTCCCCGTCTGACCTCGTCAGCAAGAAGCTCCACTAGAAGCTCCTACATCCTCTGCCGTCCAAAGTCGACTACTTCACATGCGTTGGTCGTCACACTTCTAGATTCTAGTTTGGGCTGAAGGGTGCTGAAATTTTATCATGTCTGGTTGCGGCATCACCCATTAGGAGGCTTAAGTAGGCATAAGATCTGCCATGGCCTTCATGTCTTATTGCCCCGAACCCGTGCTATAAACGATTGTGAAAGCTTCAGAAATGTTCAGAAGACCTCCACTGCTTGTTCTGCTACAAGCCAGCAGGGCTGGTCCCCAAGCACCTCACCTGCCTAGTCCGCGTATTCCTCGAATCCTATATCATGCGATTCAAAGGCAGGACAGCACATGAAAGCCAGAGGTGGCGGCTATCTCTTCTGCATGCGCCTGCACGGGTTCGAAGATCAGTCTCGTAGAAGACACATTGGCCGAAGAGCGCCAGCGACGACAGATGGACCTGCGCTCTTCGAGCGTCTTCCACGTCCTTGCGCAGTGCACCTTGGTCAGAGCTACGGCATAAAGACGGCCACGTCAACGGCAAAACCTAAACCCAAGCTAAGACGCTAAGATTTACCGTGTGCAAAGGCCGTCTTAAGCAGAGCACGGATCTCCAAGTCTGCGTCAGACGCCTTCACGACGCCATGATGCTAAGGGAACAAACAGTCGTAAGCAACACTCACGGGCCAGATGCGGTCCTTGGATTTCGCATCTCCCAGCGCAGCCTTTAGCCTTAACCCGAACATGATCGATAATCGCACGCTTTACAAAGGCATCGCATTTGTTCTCGGCCGTGCTTCGCACTGCGTGATTTCGGTCGTCAAACTGCTCTGGCTCTTCTTCAGGGCCTGGAGGCGAGTGAATCACTGCAGGCGCTACTGTTTTGGAAATCCATCCAGGCAGTCAGCTGGCCTCCAAGTCCCTTCCCAGAGTAGACGTTCGCCTGAGTGCTCGATCGTCAACTGCGGAATGGCAGCACGACTCAACTCCGAACCCACGTCCCTCATGCTGCTGAACCTTTGCGTGGCCGGGGAAACCTGTGGCCCGCACACTTGCAGGGCTTCTGCATCTTTGACAGCTGCCGACTTTTCTTGCAATGCCTGCATGTAGGCACAGTCTTTGACCCCTGTGCAACAGGCCGCATGCACGACCTAGCTTCGAAGCTACGAGGCAGAAGTGGATACTCAACATTCGACCCTAGCTGGGCAGCGGGCGCGCTCTAACTGGGAGCCTTGCTTGCGAAGTGCTGCGAACCGAACCAACATCAACCAACACTTGCAGCAATGTCAAAATTACTGTCGCTTCACCCAGGGCAGCGGCGAACGTGGCCCAATTCAGATTGAACGACTTTCGTCTCAGCACAAGCCTTGCAGCCGTGTCGCATCATGCAAAGAACGACAATATAGAGGAATTGGAGGCATCTTTGGAACAAGACAAAAATGCTACTGCAAGCACATCCACCTGGCCTTCTGCAACTGATGGATTTCGGACAATCGCTCCGTCTCTTTCGTCCTCGTTTGGTCAACTGGCGATATCTGGCGATAGTCCCTTCTGCTCCAACAATTGGCAGGCCGACCTGAGGATTGCTGTTTCCGAGGCTAGCGATGCCTGAAGTTCACCAAAGTTCATCAGTTCACTCATGGCTCTGCAAAGCTCTGTGCTTTTTCTGCGCTGCGGCCTTTGCCAACTCTGTGGCTTGAAGCTCTGATGTCAGCCTCTGCAGCGCAGACCTTGCACAAGGTAAAACTAGTGCTCACCAGTTCAAGGATGTCAGAGCAAAGTTACCCTCGGCCATGCACTCCATCTGCTCAGTCGCGGAAGCCTGCCGCACATACTCCGCACATGTGTTCAGCTGATGCGTGCTGCATGATCAAGCCCAGGCAAAGCACCTTTGTTTCACGTTCGGATTCTAGATCGGCTCTTGCAGATTTTAGCCTCGGCTCAGGTCCAGCATCCATGGTGCGTCAGGTTAGCGAGCATCTTCATTTTGGACCCCGGCTGCTGACGAAGTTCCTCTATCTGAGACTTTGAAGCGTCTAGCTCTTGGTGGGCTGCATCCTTGGCAATTCAGAACGATACTCCTGCCAAACTTACAATCAGCTGCTCTCGGCACCAGGTCGGCACGGCGCTGCTTCAAGGCCTGCAGACAAAGTGTTGGTCAGGTCACCCACCGGACTGGAGCAAAGAAAGCGATCCAACCTGCAACGCAGCTCGCATCTTCTCCGACCTGCTGCATAGGTTGCACACAGCCAAAACGTGAATCCGATCCGCGGTCCCGACCCGTCTGCAGCCACCTCCGGCAAAAAATGCGAAAGGGCACGCATGCATAAATGCACCAGAAGTGAGGAGACTCGGTGACCATGCGCATTTCCTGTTGTGGCACCTCCTTCTCCTCCTCCTTCGCATCCTGTGGGCAAAAAGGCGAACGACCATGATTCTGGAGTGTTCCGCAGGTCTCATGAAGTTGGGCCCTTCTTTCTTCTGTTTATCGGCGAGTCGTATTTGCATAGGTGGCTGCTTGCTGCCCCTTCCACTGCAATGATGCCGTTCCGCCACATCTTGGCGGGGTATCAAAACCGCTGTTGGCCGTAATTTGCCCAAAGCTGCTGGAAGCAAACCAAGTTTCCACAGATTTCCACAGACTTCTGCATACACTAACCAAGAAAAAGCTATTAACAGGAAGCCTGAACTTACGAAGCCCCGCAGCCCCCGGAAGGTCATAGCATGGTTTCTTGGAACCTTCAAAGGCGCCTTTTGCGGAGGCATTCCAGAGTGCACTAGCGTCCTATCCAACCCGCCACCATCCCCCTGCGTTCCACCGGAGTAGCAGTAGTAGAAACTAGAGTAAGCCGAGCACCGACCGCGGAGTACACAACACAGCTAGCTCTTCAGGGACCTCTCTTTTTCATGGATGTGGCATTAATCCCAGTTAGCCTGGAGTCGATCGCTAGCCTTGTAGAAACGGTATCCTCCAAACGAACCCCTCTCCTCTGAGGTCTATCCTCAGTTCGGGATCGAAGCTCTGGAATTCCTCGTTTGTGAGGTCATCCACTAGCAGGTTGAGTTCTCTCCGAGTCTCTCCTTATCCACTGCAGCTGTAGCTCGCAGTTCCGATGGGATAGCTCTTCGGCCGTCTCCAATAAAATTAGCATCAACCGGGATTTGGTCTTCATAGCACAGCCTTCCTCAGGAGGGCTCCATTGGATTTGTTATCTGTATAGCCCCTGGACGCTTGCTTCCACTGCCATTGTCGGTCCTTCTTCGGCTGCTTCTGCTTGGCAGCTGCCTGTCAACGAATCTGATCCAGAGCGGCACGGCTCATCCGCACTGCTGGACAGTGAAGTTGCCTTGGCTGGCCTGGAACCTGATTTGGTGAGGTCATCTCTCTGCCATGACGTCCCAGCGAAACGAACTTCTGTACAAATCTCGGGCTTCTGCCTGGCTTCTTCGCTGCTTCCTTCAGACTGCGTTGGTTCTTAACCGTACACACAGCCATGAGAAGCCGGAGGGAGGCTCAACTATAGATTGGGTCGGGTATACTAGGCATGCAGCACGAGCACAGGGATATCTCTGCATGCACAACTCCGCCTTCTTGGAGGGCTCCGCCTTTCCCGGCCTCCACGTGTCCGCATGCGCGACTTCTCTCAACATGCTCCAAGAGCTGCTCTGAGGCGGAGTCTCTTCTCCGGAAGATGCCGTGCCTGACGACGGAACAGGCTTCTCCGTTGGCATAACAGGCAGAAGAAGATTCGCCGGTTTACGACACAAGGTCTTGAGAGAGAAGCATGGGCTAACCGACGGAGACCGGCCGGGGATTGGCACCCCGACTACCATCTGCACGACCTCGACAATTTCGGATGAAGACATGGGCATCTTCCCGCGGTCCCATGCTACCTATCGCCAACTCTCTCCCGTCATCTTCAGGCTTGGTGGAAGCTGCTTGGAGTCTAACTCACAGACTGGGCATGCACAACCGTGTGGCGGACGAATTCTGTCGTAAGAGTTGTTCAACCATGGCTCCGGCCAACTGCCCCGCATCTACGTAGCCATGAAGCTGATAGGCAAGAATGGGCCAGTCACGCCCCGTAGAGTGCGCTGGTGAGCTAGTCAGTGCCGAGCTGCTCTGAGGGTGGGGTTCTTTGGAAGATTACATGGCCTCTTTTGCCTCCAGCTGTCCTTCTTCGTTCCTGTTCAACTGTGGCAAATACCACGAGAACTCCACTCTGACGCCGACCTGAGTTTGCCAGAGAGGGTAGTGCCAGCTCTCTGCATGACAATGAAATGAAGCTTGAGGCGAAAATGAAAGCCCGGGCTTCGTGTGCGACTCTCAGGGCACTGGGGTGCCACAGTGTCTGCGACTATTCGGCTGGTTTCCTTTTGTGGCTCTGCGGAGCGGTGCTCTCCTCGTCACCTCGCGATCGACTTCGTCGCTCTTTGGCGAACGGCTCCGAGGGCTCTGAGCTCCAAGAGTCGTGACACATCGGCATCGGCCATCGCAGGTCATGCTGGTGAAGACTCTGCCACCTGCTCAAATTCTGGAATGCAGGGTGCGTGTGCTGGTATCATGCCTTTGAAGCCATCATGGCTGAAGCTGCCGCAGTACATATCAAGAACTCCGGCAGCAGCAGCAGCAGCAGCAGCAGCAGCAGCAGCCGCAGCTGGAGTGAGGGACACATCGCGAATGAGTCAATCAGTATGGTGGCCAGTCTTGGACTTTATTTACGGCGTTGGCATACGGCCAACAGCTGCCCAAACTCGACGGGCCTGAGGCATAACACCCAAGGTTTCCCTGGAAGATCGCGCCGAGCTTGGTCGCGTCCTGGAGGCTCCTAGCAGTCACAGTGGTAGCGCACGCGATGCGAACTCCAGAGGTCGGCTCCGACACTCCAACGAGCCTGGTGCTTGCGACGGCGAGCTAACCTCCTGGCATGGGGCACTCTGCTTGGAGTGTATCTCGCTGTTTCACAACATCAGACCATACACCCTAGGACTGCTTGACGCAGGCAAGCATGATCGCCCGTTCCTGAGTTGCAGCTCGGGCATCTGCAGTCAGGGTCCGATCCGAGGGAGCGAGAAACTCATCAGCAATGTGAGCTGCAAGCGGGTACATGCTCCCGTCAGCAGGTCCAAGGGAACCTGTCGCTGGGCCGAAGCTTGCCAACAACGCAGCCTTAAACCTGGGTTGAGCCTTCACCGGCATCCTCATCAGGAGGTATGTGCTCGTCGGTCGCCCCATCGATGGTAGGATCCGGCCAGATTGCAGCACGTTGCTCTCGCACCGTGGGGCCCTTCCGAGGTCTACCCGGCCTCTGACAAGAGGTGGGGCCGAGTGCTGAGCGAGGTCTCAGCACACGATAGAAGCCGTACCTTGGGCGCAACCTGGTCAACGGACGGCCCCAAACAAGGCACTGGCGCTGCACTGGGCACCCTGCCTTCCTCGGCTTACCTTTCGAAGCGGAGAAGAAAAGCGTTTCAATTCTCTGTAGAACCAGTTCCATGAAGCACTCACCCGTCTTTGAATCTGCGGGTGAAAAGCGGCTGCAATCATTAGTCTGGTTAACTCAGCATGCGCCAGACGGCCTCTTTTGCAAGCCGAGCAGGATCGGTGCTTGGCACTGTGTTTCCAGGCTGTGTGCCGATGGTGTAAGCACCTGGCTGAAACATCACGAAAGCAAAGCACTGCTCGCGCTTTCCAGTCGGACGAAGGCCCGGCACCATAGGCAAACCGATACCCGGGCATGTGCCTCTGAAAGGCAATCGGCCGACAACTGCGAAGCCAACAAGCCAACACCCGAACCTGGAGGGTGCTCCGTGTGCAAATGGATGTCTTTCTCCTGGGCCTCTGCATCGGACAGGACCACCCGCCCAGCTAACAGAGTCGCAGGACTGGGTAGGCGCAAAATGGTGCAAAGCTTTCGGGTTTTTGTCAGCTAGACATATTCTCTGTAAAGAGCGGCTGGGTCCAAGCAGCGCAACTCAGAGCTAGTGACAGCATGCTTCCGCTGAGATGAGACAACAACGGATCATCTCAACACCTTACAGCAGTGCCTCCTGGATGACTAGTGCTGCAGGTTCCGGTGGGCGAGCGTGGGCTAAGCCTTAGTTCTACTCGAGAACCGAGGACATCAGCAAGTTATGTTGGCACTGTTGAAGCGGCGGGCCCATTGCTTTGACTGCCGATCTCTTCCCAGTTGAGGACATGCCAGCCACCTCCAATTCTCACCTGGGATCTCGACGCTGAGCACTAACCGTCCTGGGCTCTGAGCTCTGTAAGACTGAAGCGGCATTGTCCTGGTGTTCGCCCTGTCCCAGACTTCGAGACAATGACACGGATCAGCACAAGTCTGTGCTGCTCCTCCCCACTGGCAGCATCCTTCACCTGAAACAAGGTGGACAAGTAAACGAGCCGTGCCAACTCTGTCCTGATAGACAACGAATGCCTCGGAAGCAGACTTTAGACGCCGCCCACCGGTGTCCTGCACGAAACGGCATACAATAGACCACTTAGACCTATAATGACTCATACAACCAGTGGCACAGTTCTCATGCATGCACGGACAAGGGCATCATGCCGCTCCTGTGCGGAAGCATCGTCCGAACCAGTGCCGGTCATTCCTGGTCCGGAACCAGGGCTTCCGTTAGCCTTGGCGAACTCTGCAGCTGGGGCCTAAGATGTAATGTCGGGTCTTTCGAATTTGAAGGGCTTTCAGGCCCTTCCAGCAGAAAGAGTGTACCACAGAGTACCCTCCGAGTGCTCAGCCCCATTAAGCTGCAATCATGGCGGAAATGATACTAGCAACGCTACAGCGCTGAATAATATGTATATATATAGATATATATATATATATATATACATATACATATACATAGACATGAATGAATAAATGAATGAATGAATGCATGAATCAATGAATGAATTAATGAATGATTGATTGATTGAATGAATGAATGAATGCATACGCACACATACATACATACATACATACATACATACATACATACATACATACACACAAATAATACACATACACATTCACATACACATACACATACGCATACACATACACATACACATACACATACAC